GTATGCTTTGGTATAATTTGTAATGGTGATAAGCATCAGTTTTATTTGTGTGGTGGAGGAAAACTCTGTCATACTTCTGGTTATCAAAATAGGGCTGCCATACACTCATCTGCAAAGTGAGATATGAAATAGACCCAGAAAAGGCAAATGAGCCATGTCACCTGTATGGGTGTGCTAGCTAGTGATGAGGTAGACAGGCAAAATGGTCATTTATCCAGACTGACTCTAACTTGGACAAACCTGAGTCAACAGAACCTCCAGGCTCCAAGGCTTTGGAGAATAACAAGAAGTTGTATCAAGTGCAAGAGATGTTCGTTTTATTCCCCTAAGGCAAAGAGATGAGTAAGGTTGTTTTTACATCAAATTTGGCCTTAAGTGTTGCCTGTCAGTGGCTAGTTCCTTAATGAAAGGATAGTTAAATAAGGCAATAAGGAAGGCTAAAGTAAAGTTAGATAAATGCAGTCTTTAAAAGTATTTGTCTCAAATGGCAATTCTTGGTGCAACAGAGGAGCATGAACTGTTTAACTTGAAAACGGTTTCAGAGGCAGCAAAAAAATTGGTGTCAGGGACTACAGAAAGGGCAACAACTGATGAGTTAGTAAAGTCAAACTTCCAGCACAATCTTTATCACAAATGCTTGATTGGGCCCATTATTTAAGCAGTAGAGTCCAGAAGATCAAAACAAAAGTATGAGGATGATTATGAAAAACCAAAAACATAAATCATTACTTTCAAATATGGACCAAACAGATGGTGATGATTCTCAACTTCTGCCGAGGGACCTATTCAGTATTCACTTTGATAAATAATACCAGATGCATGCCTGCAAGTCTGAAACTGACACAGACCTCTTGTCTTTAGGTGAGAGGCAAAATCCTTAACCTTAACGTAACAGAAAAGCGCCGCACCTACTAGTACTGTACTCACTATGAAACGTGCTATAACTCTGTAAAATTCTGTCAGTTAATTAAGATAAGTGCAAACAGAAGGGTCGCAAAGCTGTTCAAAAAGGCAACCCTTACCAACATGGAGTCAAGAAATACCGAAATACTTTGGTTTATCCCGTCGATATTACATCACTACACACACAAAAAAAATGCTCGAATGAAATATTACACCGTGATGACTGCAATCTGTCTCACACTGAAATAAACATCCACATTGCTTCGTAGTGGAGTTCCCGCTCGCAAGTTTACAGTGAAATATTTATCCCCGCCCCCTCAAAATGTGCAGAATTTAGATGTAGGGCAACTGGAACTTTTCCTTAGATGTTTGTACGTGAAACAAGCAAAACGTATACAAAACTTCCGCTTACGGATGTCCGCCATGTTTCTTTCCCACGAAACCAGTAATTAGTCTCGCTCGGCCAAATTTCTTAACTCGGGCGATCATAGAAACTCGGTTCCAGGCCTCGTTGCCAGCCCCCTGGATTTTACAACACAAGCACGCCTTGTGTACAGAGCTCTTCCTTCGACCTCAACATTTTTCCATTTGTCACAAAACGTTAACAGTTGTAATTCTTCAGTATGGCCAGCCATTTTAATCCGTACAAATCTCAACGCATTCAGTTTTCACAGTATAGTGGAAATGACTCGCAGGCGATTTATTTTCAGCAGCAAAACTCACAGCCACAAGCTGCTTCGTGGTTACCTCCGAATCTAGAGCAGCGTTCTGTTTCACAAAAGAGGCATATTCGGCAGAGAAAACGTCTCAAAAGTTTAAGTCTAGCCAGGGAAAGCAATGGTGCTTTGACGATGAGAAAGTGCTTTGCAGCCGTTTGGGCCGATGATATAATAATTATCAGAATGGTATCATATATCTTGAATGTCTATTGAAGTTCTACTGACGTTTGACTTTTGACGTTTGACGTTGACGTTGACGTTTGCTGGCAGATTTCCTATTGAACAGACCGAAAAAATAGAAATTTGATGAATATCAATAATTAAATGTCGTCTGGAGACCACAACAAAAGCGGAAAAACAGAACCATATTTACCGGCCAAAACGTTCACCTTAAATTCAGGGATAAGTTGTATTAGCCGATTTTCGAGTTAAGGGGAAAGTGATTTTTATTTTCCAGCCAGAAATGGAAAATATAAACTTTGGGATGTTTTTACCGAACAAAGACCTCTGTTCCTGATAGAAAGAGGAGACAAAAACGGGTTTAGCACAACTGTCGATTCCGCGAGATTAAGTCATTTGGTGATAGATGCTAGCAAAACTTTCAAAATGACGAGAGAATATTAAGCCACTCAACAAGGGAAGACATTCTAGTAAGATGCATCTGATCCATCACAAAAAAAGACTGAAAAACGTGCCACCCGTTGCTTTCACTTTTGTGCTGTCCATATTCAACTCTTGCAAGTTCCCGAAATTAAAGCACCGTTTGACAGCGATTAAAACGACGTCATAAAAATTGGGATTTATGTTCACTTAATTGTAGTTCAATTCCCAAGTCTTGTCAGGGATAAAGCGTATGAGGGGCAATTATAAGCTCTCACCTCTGTAATGGCATATTTTGTCGGTTTCACTATGACAGATGATCGGAACTATACTTCGAACGAGGGAAACATTTTTTGTAATAATAACCGAACCATTTGAAGAACATTACATTTCATAGAACCATTAACCGCGAAGTTAGTTTATTGACGATGGTTTGTAGGTTTACTGCGCCTTTCAATAACATGCGGACTCTAAAATTCAAAGCTCAACCGACAAATGCGTTTTTCGCTACCGCCAATCAGATGTTTGGTGTCTCCTCTTAGCTTCCGACTACTGCCGAGCACTATTTCGTTGTCTGAACTGTGCTCAGCGATTTGATTACCGCGCGCTCAGCAGTAGTCGGAAGCTGGGAGGAGCCGCCGAACATGATTGACGGTAGCGAAAAACGCATTTGTCGGTTGAGCCTTGAATTTTAGAGTCCGCATATTATTGAAAGGCGCAGAAAAGCTTTTTGTCGCGGGGGAAAAATTAACATCAGAGTTAAAAGTTGTCCTCCACTTCTTTGGTTTCAATTAACTCACTTAGCCGCTCGTCGCTTCATCCGGGACTTGGTCGACCCTAGCCCAGTTCTCTTACAAATTCGGCTTTCTAATAAATTATTTTAAACCAGTGACAGTTGGCATCGTCCACCGTCTACATTGAAAAAAGGTTTGTAGATTTTGAGGTAAATAACTGTTTAATGACGTTTTTCCCTTTTCTTGTGCGAAAGAGGATATAAATTTAAAACAGTATAACATTAACATGGCATTCAGCCTAACCGTCTGGCCATATT